GTTTACATAGAGGCGTCGTGTTCAAAAGTTTGTGTTTTCAGGCCCCCCAAACGGAGTTATTGAAGACTCCTGATGTTAACAAACAGAATCACTGAAGGAGAAAATCACATTTTTTTAGGTTACCATTACCATACAAAATGTGAATCCATTGAACTTTTCTAAATTGTTTAGATATACATAGGTGTAACATTTTGCAATAATTATTGTACATTAGTTCCTCTTTGAATGTTAATTAGATTATAAAATAACTCCAGAATAAATGTTTATATTTATGCTAAATATATATATATATATATATATATACAGTGCCATGAAAAGGTTTTTGAGACTGTACATTCTACATACTGTATGTATCTATTCCTGCCCAGTTTTTCCCTGCATCTAACATTAGATGAGAGCAGACAGCGAGCATTAAAGATAAACACATTGTGCGTTCGACATGTCATGTTTTGATCCCCGCCTCACTAATTTCATTTGCTGTATCCGTGGCAACAAAGGGGAAAGAATAACAGAGCATCCCTTATCACCTTCACAGCCAAATAAAGTGGAGCTCTTCCTGCTGGTGACGCTTTGTCGCAGTTATCTCTGAATCTGTAAGAGCAAGCGTCGCCGGAGCAGTTAGCAGCTTGCCACATGTATTGAGATGCTATCAGAGGAGCCGCCATATCAAAGAGTCTAATGCAGACAGGGCTTATCTCGCCGAGAACTCACACATGTGCTATGTAGGGCACGTCTTATCAGAGCGCTGCCATTACTGCCATTGCAACAGCAGACGCGGGTCAGGATGATGTTTGGAGTGGCCATCTGAGATTGCCAAATAAGTCAAAGTGTAGCTGACATGTTGCATCAAAGGTTCAGGTGAAGTGAATAATTACTGGAATGAATAAAATGTCATTATTTACTCAGGGCCTGTATGTTAGTTTTTGCATGAAACCCCCCAAAAAAGGTTTTTCAATTGTTGGGTTTGTCCCTATTTTACCCAGCACTGGGTTGTATTTAACCCAGCATTTTTTAGAGTGTACAATTACTATACTGAAGACTGGAGTAAATTCAGCTTCTTTGCCATCAAAGGAATAAATTACATTTTATTCAAACAGAAAACAGTTAATTTGAATTGTAACAATATTTTACATGATTGTTTTACTGCATTTTTGATTGATTAAATGCAGCTTTAGTGAGTATATGAGACTTCTTTCAAAACCATAAAAAAATTGAGCGGTAGTGAATACATACACAAAAGTACAGTATAAAAGTAAAAAATCTTCTATCAAAATCCTAAAAATGGCATGCATAATTATTAAGAAAAAAAAAGAGAATAGTTTCAGATGGAGTAGCCTATGAAGCTGCTGTAACATGTCAAGGTAATGGTCCAAATATGCTTCAGTTTTAAACTTATGATCAAACGTGTCCAGTTTTCTAGCTAATGCATGCACGATCGTGCTGTTTCAGTGAAAATCCCCCCGTGTTTATTTGTAGCGTTTGTGGCCTCAGCCCACAGATTCAGAGCTGCTGTGCCCACTCACCCACCCAGAGCTTTCTCATTCTGAGAGAGAGCGTTCGTGACCCACCTACGTCTGATTCATGATCAGCCAGTCGTAGGCCACTCTAAAAGCAACCTGACGGCCATAAACCATCTCTGACAATGTTTCCAAGGTCAACTAGTTATGAAATCAGAAGATTAGAGTCCCACATTAGGCCACACATGCAGTTTCCTCATCATGCAGATAAATGCGATATGAATTTAACATGCAAAGCATATGGTAAGCATATAGCTCCAAATTCTGATCCATCTGCACAAAATATCACACAAGAAGAAATGCAGTTGTTTTGAAAATTAGCAAAGTAGTTCATACAACTTTCACTGATTTCATGTTAAGATTTCATGTTAAATGGATGTTTGGTCACATGGCATGCAAGAACTAATGGTGTTTAGCCTCACATTACTGTAGAAGTCCATTTTAAAGCTTTAGTGGAAGTGATTTAGTAAATAATGGCTTAGATTTTTCACACAAAATGGTTTTAAAAGACTTGAGGTTCACAAGAGGTTTTATGGTGTGTTTTTTTTAGTTTTACCAATATTATTACTATGAAATATCATTGTATGTGTAAAGAAAATTCAAATACTTCATTTTCATGTTCCACATTAAAAAAAACATTTTTATTAAAAAATATCACAGTATACAGGTTTGAAGCAACAGAAAAGATGATGAAATATGAAAGCTTGTTTGCACCATGGAATAAATAAATAAGGTAATTGTGACTTTTTATTTCACAATTCCGACTTTTTTTCCTTGCAATTCTGAGTTTATATTTCACAATTCTGACTTTTTTTATATATATAAAAAGCGCAATTTTATATACACTCACCATTGCAAACAAAAAAATTCAAAATTGCCTTTTTTTATTTTATGGAAGAAACTGAAAAACAAACTTCCAGATGCAAATAAGAATTAAAGAAAAAAAAGTCAGAATTGTGTGTTTATATCCCATAATTCTGTTTATATCTTGCAATTCAGATTTTTGCAATTACCTTTTTCATTTTGGCAGAAATGGTCTTCCATTATTAAATAAACTATAAAAAATAGTAAAATATTTCTTTGCATTTTTTACCCAACAGTCATTTTGCCAAGTAAATGATTTATAGCAGCATAAATTAGCAAATGCACTGTGTGCATTAGCATTTTAACATAAGTAACATTACATACTGTAGATGTACATAAATGAGTTTTTAGCACAATGAAACACACACACATTCACTGTACAAACAAACGCACCTTTACATACAGACATATGCAAACAAAGAAAGAGGGAAAGAGAGATAGTAAAAGAGAGAGAAAGAGAGGTAGAACTGGTCACAGTGGAAACTCTGACTCATCTGCTCCTGCCACTCGGAGCCCAAATCAATTTACCACTGAGTCATCACAGGACTCCTCTCTCTCTCTCATTTGGGATCTTTCTCACTCTTTCTCTTTCTGTTGTCAGCTGAACATGCTTTGAGGTTGTGTGCTAAAGGGCACATTTTTACACAGTCCAAATGCATCATAGCTGCTTGAGTAATTATGGCAGCACCAGCAGGTTTTATAGCATTCAGTTGCAGAAAAACAGTTCCCCTCAATGAGACACACGACAGAAACTGCCTTCGCTTCTCTGAGCACACGCTGAATGTCATGCAGCAAGACTCCCTGACAAAACCACTGTATATGGACGAGACTACAAAGAGAAAGTCCTGATAATACAGCATCTTTACATGCAAAAGACTTCAAACCATGAGGGCTGAATTTAAGAGCAGTTGCTCCACTTTTGCATGCAATTTTCATGAACAATCCAGTTTAAGAACACTGGTAAAGGACCATGCATATTTTTTAATATTTATAATTAATAATTAATATAATTTAAGAAATGTTTGTGTACATTTTCTATTGCTCACAGCAGCAGTAATACATATATGTATTATATATAGGGTACCAGGGTTATTGTAGTTTACAATTAAAAAAAAAAAAAACTTTTTACCTACTTGGAAAAAAAAAGTTAACTGAAATAAAATAAAATGTAAAAACAACTTTTTTTCAGCAAAATGCAAAGGCAACATTTCTCCTTTTTAACAACTTATCAATTTATTTTTTTCTTCATACTGTCTGGGGATATTTCCCCCACCTTGTTACACTACCAGCCTACAAAAAAAAATCTCATTATGCTATTATTTACAAATACTGGATTCAGTCTTTTTATCAACTTGTTTTCGGGTGAAAATTACAAAAATTATTCACAAATTTAAAAAAAATCACTCAAAAACTGTGGTGCATAAGCTCAGATCAATGAGTCCTACAATCAATCAGTTCCAAAAGGAAATACAAAACCTGCGCTAATTATTGAATTCGAGATTTGGTGATAATATTGCATAATGAGAGATTTACAAGCAATTTTTAAAAGGCCGGTCATTTTTAAAAGGCAACACTAAATTACAAAATGGATAAATAAACTAAAACTAATAAATAAAACTTAATAAAAAGACATATTAAAAAAAAACTAATAAAAATGACAAAAGCACACAAATTACTAAACCTACACTCTAAAAAATGCTGGGTTGTTTCAACCCAACTTTGGGTCAAATATGAACTAACCCAAACGTTGGGTTAAAAATTTAATGTAAAACTTTAACCCAACGGTTGGGTTAGTCCATATTTGACCCAAAGTTGGGTTGAAACAACCCAGCATTTTTTAGAGTGTACAATGAAAGTGAAAAATATACATAGAAAAAAAATCGAATTACAATAGTATATAAATGATACTAAAATAACACTTTAGTGTAGTCTGCATACTTTCTGGCTTTTTAAAGAGCCCGTTTAGGTGTTTAGATCACAATAATGGTGAAATGCTGTACCAGTAAAATTTGTCTGCTGCATCCTCCAGGAACTAACCTGCAGAAACAGCCTGCAACACTGCATCATGCAAATTGTGCTCATCACTATTTTTCGAGCATGTTTGTTCCGTTACCTTTTTTTGCATACTTCCTTTAATCAATCAGGTGTTTAAACAATGCAGACAGCACATGCAAATTCATGCACACTTCATTCTGCATGCACAGCATGTCTTAAATATGCACAAACTCCACAACGGATTCTCAAACGACCACAGGAGAATACGAAGAGGAGAACCTCAGTGACCCCATAATGCAATGCACCGCTCGTCAATGCAAAGCAGATGATGGCGTGGAGCCTCAGCCATTAAAGACCACAGAGCCCGGGGCCAACACACAAAGACCTCCAACCACTGACCAGCCCAACAGATTAGCCTGTTACTCACGCTTCCATAAATCACATGAGACAACTTATATTCTCTGGACGGAAAGAGAGACAGAGACAGGCGGAGGGAAGCGTTTTAAAGTTGCATGCAGCCTGAAAGCTCTTCTCACATGTCTCAGTTGGAATCCAATTTGATGCAGACTGTTATTGTTGCTGGTGACCTATACCAGAAAGGTATAGGGTGTGCGATTTTGTGGTTTAGCACTTAGGTTGACATTTCCTTGAAGATGTCAACAATCAGGCTGTGGTTAGTTTCTGTCTACACAGATCTTTCTCCCACAGTTATCTGAAATTACATCGGTGACTAATACTGATGTTATATTTTTATGCATAACTGCAACTGATTATAGCATGTCTACAGCAGGAGTGTTTAGTTAAGCGGTTAAAGCAATAGTTCAGCCAAAAATTTAAATTTGCTTAAAATTTACTCACCTTCTGCCATTTAAGATAAGTTTGTTTCTTCATCAGAACATATTTGGAGAAATTTAGCATTACGGTTGACATTTCCTTGAAGATGTCAACACTCTGTTTACTGTGCTAAAGAGCATCTTGTGATTTATTTATGATGGATACCAGAACAGCTGTCTTTATGAAGAGTCCATTTCTTAAAGAATGTATACTTTTATTCAACAAGGACACATTCAATTGATCAAAAGTGTCCGTAAGGACATTTATAATGTAAAATAAATAAATAAATAAATAAATAATTTCAAATAAATTTAACTTTTTATTCATCGAAGAATCACCGTTTCCACAAATGCATCACCACGAATGTTTTCAACATTGATAATAATCTGAAATGTTTCTTGAGCAGCAAATCAGCATATTAGAATGATTTCTGAAGAATCATGTGACACTGAAGACTGGAGTAATGATGCTGAATATTCACTTTTTTAATATGTAAAAAAAAATACTTTCAATGAACTTTAATTTTGTAAATTACCTGTATTTGTTTAAGTTATTATTACGTAATCAAAACAACCCAACTGCAGTTTGATTGATATTACTTGGAATGCACAATAAAAAAAAACGTGATTTCTGAAAAAAAAATAAGAATTGAGTTATCGGTTTTTGCAAATGAACTCTTCAAATTACATTTTAAAATATATTTAAATAGAAAGCAGGTATTTTAAATTCTAATAATATTACAGTTTTTACTTTATTTTTGATTAAATAAATGCAGCCTTGGATGAGCAAAAAAAAAAAAAAAGGACAATAAATAAAAAAGGCCAAGAACAATAACTATAAAGATACAAATAACTATATTATCGTCTAAACTGATGTACAAAAATATTGTTTATTACAAGTGCACACTGCAGTTTTGTTGTCCGCCACTTGAAATGCTCAAGCGTTTTAATGCAGGATGGATTCTGATTGGCTGTCAATGTTTTATTATTCAACAGCTCGAAAAAAATAAAACAATATTTAGAAAGGGACTCCAACGATATCGTTCCTTTTATGTCGTTATAGTTGTGGCATGGAATCTGCTATTTTTTTTTACTATTTTTTAATTTTTATTTAATTTTAAAAACTCATTTTAGAACAACTTTTAAAACTAATGTTATATCATTCCCAATATAGTTATCTTCCTTGGTGTGAAAACTTTTAAACGGTAACTTTTTTGCATTTGCATTTTTTTGCAAAGTATTTACCTACAAATGTAAGTCTCAATGGAAAAAAATTCAGTTTTTCTGCCTTTTGAACCTGTATCAAGCATGCATTACTGCTTTAATCAGAAATTATGCAGTTACTTCACCTAAAAATGAAAATTCTGTCATGATTTACTCACACTCATGTGGTTCCAAACCCATATGACTTTCTCTCTTCTGAGGAACATAATAGGAGTCATTTTCGTAATGTTCACATTTAAGCATAGCGCCTCTAGACACACTGTGGCACATTAGTGATATGAAACATCATTGTTTCCTATATATCTTGTTACTGATCATGATGTAATGCACTTGACTGTTTTGAATTAACTGTGAGCATGAATTAGATTTAAGAGCTTGTCTGCGCACAAAGCTATCAGAAGACTTGAGAAGACTCTGAATGTAATGCAGTTGATACTTTTTGGTGTTTTTTTTTAAACTGACAGCTTAAATCACCACTTTCATTAAGAAAAAGAGCAGCTGGGACATTCTGCAAAACATCTGCTTTTATGTTCCACAGAAGAAAATCACACATTAAACTGTTTTTAATTTGAGTAAAGTAATCCTTTTAACAAAAGCTTTCCACTTCATATCCGCCATCTTTATGCAAAAACATGACTACTGACTTAATAAAACTAAATGTGCTGAACTTTTCATAATGCAATACCCATGCAACAGTCACGGCTGAGTAATGTATGTGAGAATGGAAAAAGCTCTCCAACTTTTTCAGCACGCGCTGAAAGTTTCGACATGTCCGTCTAGCCGAGAGGCAGAAAGGAGGAAATACATTGAAAAATGAATCTCTGAGACTTCCTCTGGTGCTGGAACGGGTTGCCACGACCACCCTGATGCCTGCTGTATTTGTCTCGTTTATCTAGACATGATGCAACACTGAGCTCAGAGTTAGAAACCCACCGATTGGCCGCCGCGCAACAGCCTTAAGGGATGGAGGGGGGTAAAGTAGCAATGCATCACCTCAACTGGTGGCAATAAATCTGGAGTCTTTCTTTGGGTGTGCTCCAGTCATGTAAAAGCCGTTTAAATCACCATCCTTCCTGCCATATTACTCACCCTTGACTGCCGTACGCTAAATTACATTTGGGCTTGAATTCCAGCCCTCTCACTGCGGGAGGCTTAACGCGTGAATGGGAATTGATCTGCTCTTTCAGGCCGCATCAGGTTGATTTTTCCGTCTTACAGAATGGGGGGAGTGACCTTCCACGCCAGGTTTCAGAAGAGAGACGAGTCGAATCATATACCTTTTGCTTAATTCAGGCACAATGAAGGGATTGTGGTGGGCAGTGTCTGTGCACGTGTCGGCTGAAGGACAGAGGGCCGATTAACCTCATCTCCACACCTGCTGCGTCGCTGGCATTCATGCTCAAAGAGAGGTCAGAGGTCGCATTCCAAGTCTGAATTCTTGACCTCCTCAATTAATGCTCATATATTTCATTCGGTGTCCAACACAAGCCCTATACCTTTAGAAGCAAATGCAGTTGCGTTTGTTAGTGTGATAATTCAAGAAAACATACTAAAGCAATATGAAATTCATGCATTTGGAAAACATTTTTATCAAAAACAAACTGTATTCAAACTGCATTCAGGTGTGTGTGTTTGTGTGTGCGTGTATATATTAGTGCTGTCAAACGATTAATCGCAATTAATCGCATCCAAAATAAAAGTTTTTGTTTACATAATATATGTGTGTGTACTGTGTATATTTATTATGTATATATATATAAAGACACACATACGGCATATGTTTTGAAAATATTTAGATGTATATATTTATATTCATATAATTTATATATTATATAAAAACATAACATATTTTTCTTAAATATATTCATGCATGTGTTTGTATTTAATCATTTGACAGCACTAATATATATGTATATATACATATATGTATGTATATATTTCTTTGAATTGGTTTTTATTTTTTAGATGTTATGTTTTCATTTTAATTTTAGTTAAAGTTTTGGCAATTTACTTATATTTTTGGATGTTGTATTATTATTTTATTATTATTATTGTGCCTATATATTTCTTATTAATTTAATTTCAGTTTTAGTTATTTTAGGGCATCAAGTTAAACGAACTAAAAAATGAAAAATGTTGCCTTGGCAAATAGATAACAAAAGTTTTTATTTATTTATTGATTGATTTTTTAACTCAAGTTTATTTAAGTTATATGGGGCTGTTAGGCACAAAGTGAGGTTGGAGTGCCTAAAACTTCCTTAACAATGCAAAAAATCACAGTTCTCAGTAACACACTGGTCCAAGAGACATAATCACTTATATATAATGGTTTGGGTTCAGCAAAAGACAACATTTAAACAATTACTGTACTTTCTTAATAATAACTACAATTTGAAATTTTCTGAAGAAAATGTGAATCCTTGCCTGTGCATATTGTTCAGCAGGTTTAAAGTATAAAAAGCACTTTTTTTTTCAGGAAAAAGTTTCTTTAGATTATCAAAATGTTCTTCACACAGAAGAAAAAAGTGGTTCTAAAAAAGAACTGTTCACTGAAAGGTTCAAGGAAGCCAAAATGCTTCTTCTATGGCATTACTCCAAACCCCCCTTTGGAATCTTTATTTTTAAGAGTGTTCTATAATCAAATGATTGACATAGAACATTAACATAGAATTCCCATTATCCGCAGTCACAGATGTGCATATATTGGTTACTTTCAACTGTAGCTCATCTAGTCAGAATTTAGAGCTGGATCTATGTGTTTCATAAAGTAAATTTACAACAGTCACACAAACTGGTAAGAAACTCTTTTTTTTAACCCGCACAACCTAAATTTGATCTGAGTAAAAAATTACTGTGGAATAACAATTTTACAATTTTAGCGTGAGGTTCAAACCGTCTATTATCTGCTGCCATTATTTGCAACTACGCTTTTGGTTTTATCTGTAAGTTACCGAGTACAATATTAACATACATTATAAAGAGCCAGCAAAGAGTAATTTGATGACAGGATAACGTGTTTTAATCATGGAACAGTAACCGAGTAAGATATGATAGTATTGTTAGCTCGTTAGCATATATACTCAGACTGCATTTGATTTGTTATTTATTACCGTCACACAATTTATACAACGGACACATGTCCCAATCTTTATCTAAGCAAAAGATATGCGTTTATGAACCAAATTCATAATTCTTGCGTGATTACTGTGAACATGCTGCTAGCGATTGCAAAAATAGCAGCAGATGGACAGACGGAATCTGTCGGGTTTTATTTTATTTTTAAACTTTATTTTAATTTGGGGGGGTGTGTCTGTAATTAGTTAACTAGAGAAACTATCTATTCTTTACATTATTTTTTCCTTGTCCTTGTAGTTCAACTACTGAAGGCTGATTTTGTAGAGAAGCAAAGGACTCCTTCTTTAAGAAAATGTAAGTTTGCCTATTGTTTGTTCAAGTAATCATTCACCTAAAAATGTTTATCTCATCATTTACTCAACCTTATGTCTCAAACTCGTAGGACTTTGTCTTGGAGGACAAATGAAGATATTGTCGTGGAGAAATGATATCTGTTTTGCCCATATACAGTGGAAGACCAGTGGGAACCAAACCTTCGAGTTTCAAAAGGAACATAAAGGTATGATTAATCACCAGTCATTTTGTCTGATATTAAAATATCAGACCAAAGGACCACAAATTAGAGACTGGAATTGCAAAATGTACAGTGAAAATTGTTTTCACCCAAACAAATCGAATCACTTCAGAAAACTGGCTAAATCATGTGACTAATTAACTTTATGCTCCATTTACTGTATGTCTGTTGGTATTTGAAAGTTTGATCCCCATTTTCTTTTGCATTGTAGGGACAAACAGACATTCATTTCCAGTAAGGTATCATCCATATTGGAGTTTAAATTGGCAAATGCTGATTTGTATTTTATAAACCATTTGTTTTGAAAAAAAATAAAAATAATACATTAGCTGGTGTTCACTGAAGCCTGATTTGAGAGTACATTTGTATTTTATGAACAAATAAAGACTTTATGTATGTTTGTATGTTTTTATGTATGCCTGTTTTAGGGCATATTGTAAAAGTTTATCTAGTCTTGTATCAGAATAAAACATAACTTCACTTTGTTCTCTTTTGTAATACACAGTCAATTCGAAAATGCAGGGTATAATATGCATTTAAAATTGAGATCATGCGGTTATTAGTATGTAATTTAAAAGATATATGCTGCTAAATTACAGTTGTATACTGTAGATGACAAAACGGCATTTTACTGTTAATTTCAAAAACGGTAGCACACTGTATTTTTACAGTATGATGCTGTCAACCACAGCTGCCAGTAGATTACCGTTTTTTTTACAGGGAAATTTTTTACAGTGTAGGCAAATCAGATTATTCACCATTCCAAGGAATCTGTAGGATGGCGGCCAGATACAAACAGTGCAATCCACATTCTGGGATGTTGGTTTGTCTCTCGGTTTTCTTTAGGGGTCAGTCACTCTTCCTGACACACAAACAGAATCTAGCAGGAATCACTTAGCACAGGCTACAGTTTAAACTCTGAAGGGACATAACATGGAAAATGGGAGTTTTCTTACTCTTTTGAACTGAAAGAGCTTGCTAATTTACAGTTAATTATCATTCATTTATAATTAAACTTACTAAACCTTGGCACGACAAGAATGTATAGTCATACCTTTGATGAAAATTTCCTTTAGATTTAGTCATTCGCTCATTATACTTTAAATATAGTTATAATATAACTGTTTGCAAATCAACAGGGGTGTAGGAACTATCTGAAATGTATGAGAAACACATAATTTTGGCTTAAGAATATGAATTATGTAAGGTGACAGTCATACCTGACTGGCTAAATTAAGTTGGTTATAACGGCAGTAATAATTGCTGTTTTACTCTTAAAGGGTTGAACTCAGGGGTTGTGTTAAAAATACTGTTGCAAAAATGCTTTTTCTCTTTTCTAAGGCTCAGACTGAAAGTGTAAAATGGTTGAGTAAAACAAAATACTAAATTTCAGGAGGCAAAACTCACTTCGTAAGTGGAATTCAGGGGGGGAAAGTATCAAAATGCTATTAAAGAGCAGAATATGACCCCATTAACCACTGCGGGTCTGACAGGAGCTTCCTCATACCAGAGCCGACATAAAGCCCCTGCGGAGCAGCACAAGACTCATTATCTAGACAGATGAGCAATGGACGGAGCGCAGATACATCACAAAGAACTAGAATCCACAGTGAAAGACTTTCCATTTATGTGCTGTTAATGGATGGCTGATCATTGTAGCGTGTTGTAATTTGGCTGACCCTCCGCTGGACGGTAACACCCTCGCTTCATTGTGGACACTCTGTGAAATAACAGGCAGCATGCAGAAAATCACTGATATCTAAATCTGCACATTGTTCTACTGTAATAGCAGGGTATGCAAGGTTTGCCCCCAATATCTGGTGTTCATATGAGCTTTCAAGACATCATAAGTAATTAATGGTGTTTGCTAAAGCAAGCCTCACTATTATTATTGCTTATACTAGTACAAAGGCTTAGGGACCCGAACAAACCCCAGAACTCTTGCATTAAACTTTGGTGCGCAACTCGTTCTCTAAATTGTGCAGTGTGTACTTTTCTAGCTGGACAATAAAAATAGTTAAAAACAATGGCATGACAAGAATGCATGGCCAAAAGCATAACTTAGTCATAGGTTTGATGAAAATTTCCTTTAGTCAGTGATTGTCATGTCATATTCATTAAAAGAATAATTAATCCAAAATTGAACATTTGCTAAAAATGTACTCATCCTCAGGCCATCCAAGATGTAGATGAGTTTGTTTCTTCTTGGGAACAGATTTGGAGAAATTCAGCATTACGTCACTTGCTCACCAATGGATCCACTGCAGTGAATGGGTGCCGTCAGAATGAGAGTCCAAACAGCTGAAAAATAAAAACATCACAGTAATCCACACCACTCCAGTCCATCAATTAACGTCTTGTGATATGCAAAGCTGCATGTTTCTAAGAAATAAATCCATTATTAAGATGTTTTTAACTTTAAACTGTTGCTTCTGGCCAAAATATGAGTCCATAATCCAGAATAACGCTTCCCCCAGTGAAAAGTCCATCCCCTGTTATCCTCTCACATCAAAAACCCATGACATATTTGTTTAGAACTGTTTTGGCTTGTAAACGGTGCTTGATCTGTGCATATTGGCTGGAAGGGTGGATTATTGTGATGTTTTTATCAGCTGTTTGAACTCTCATTCTGACGGCACCCATTCACTGCAGAGGATCTACTGGTGAGCAAGTGATGTGATGCTAAATTTCTCAAAATCTGTTCTGATGAAGAAACAAACTCATCTACATCTTGGATGACATAAAGGTGAGTAATTTTTTTAGCTAACTTTCATTTTTGGGTGAACTATTCTTTCAAATTTAGTCACTTTTCACTTCGCCATACTCAAAAAAAAAAAAAAAAGTTGACAAGTATTTTTACCTATGTTTTTTTTTTTTTTTTTTTAAAGCAAGAGACCATTTTTTGACCATATCAAGTTTGATATTGATATTTAATATATACATATTCATTCATTTAAAAATGCGTCAAACTACTTTTTGGTAGTTATATTAGTATTAGCTTTTATTTGCTTTTGTTAACAAAATAATAAAAGTCAGCTATTAAGTAATGTTGATGACAAAATTAACACTAGAAATGCAACCACACAAAAACGCTGTATAGTAATAATACCCTATAGCACACGCAAACACCACTCACAGTTTATTAATAAAAAAGAAAATATAAAACTCCCGTACAGCATGTTTTATATGTAAAGCTGTGAGCACGTACCTCATTCCTGTCTTTCAAAGCCTTGTCTGCTTTGCATATCTGAACACAAACACAGACAAACATTCTCCCTTATTTACCATCAACTTCCTCCAAACCTTTCTGGGTCAACGGACTCTGTTTATGATACTTTCAAAGGAGGCCTTGTGAATTTCAATGGAATTTGATCTGAGAGCATGCATACATCTGCTCACATGGCTTTATTAGATTTACTCACTGTTTGACAACACACTCTCACAATTTATTCCCAAAAGCACTTGCAAATCATACAAGGAAAGCGTGCCAGACAGAGCAGGCCTAAACTGCGTTATAGAAGTGCACCTAATTAAGGTCTCGTTCTAGAGGACTGGTTTGATTTACTGCAGCATCTCGAAACTAAAAGCATTCGGTTCATATGCGTGAGAGAGAGAGAGAGAGGTATGGAAAAGCAGACAGGTGTAACTTCCTGTTTTCAGTGGTTTAGCCGAGTTCATAACTGATCCACTCAAAATGTAATTTAGATGAACTTTCAAAGAGGATTAGATAAGATCACAGTCGATGGGATTGCATAAACATGTTTCTCCTGAACATTAAGAGTCAGTGAATCATCATCCAAACTAGCTAATGGAAAGTTCTGAGAGACATTTCAATTATAAATTGCTGGAAGCTTCCGTCACGTTTTTTTTGTTTTGTTTATCGTACGCGGGTCATTTGGGATGCTAGAGTCGCTGGCCCTCTTGTGTAGTTGTAGTCTTGAAGAGGCCATATGCTAATATCTGAATATTATTAACATACATTTGTGTACATTGACATTGAAAACAACAAACTGCACCGGACATGGTACTTTCATAAAACTCGCCATATACTTTTAGTATGTGTGTTTTGTTTTTAACCTCTGTAGTCATTTAATGACATTAAAGTGAATAAGTAACTGTCTACATTTCCTGTCCAAGTACATGTAGACCAAAGTTTTTATTATTTCACATTTCATACAAAAAGGTCATTTAAAACGCTTTCTACAGCCATACCGTCATTTTGAGAAAAGAAAAAGAATAAGGGTCAGTGAAGGTCCCATTACTTAAGCATTAGATGCACAAAAAGGCAGCTGTTTTGTAGTTAGTGCCATCAGTTCTGTTTAAAATGCTAATGTTTAACATAAGAATAACCTAGCAGGAAAAGTGACTTAAATTATATAAACTTCTGTATTCTGTTTTCCTTACAGCATGACAGGAATTCATGCTGAAAGAAAAAATATCACATTTAATTTTCTAACTTTGTACACAAATGTAGCATACATGTTAAGAAAATTAAATTAGCTTAACCTCTTTATTTTTTCTTACACAATTAAATATATTCATTATATGTTTTAAATGAACCTAACCATTCAATCTTATGTATTTACTTCTTTATTGCAGGATTTAAAATGGCAAAAAGGTACAATTAATACATGTAAGAATTGAGAAAATTAAATGAGCTTAACCATTCAGTGTTGTTATTTATGTGTTATTTATTTATTTTTTGCACAATAAATGTATTGCACACATCGTAAAATATAAACAACAAAACTATCAAGAGTACTGTTAATATACTGTACATAAAAATTGATCAAATTAATTGGAGCTTAACCATTTAGCTTGATTATTGATTGACTGATTGATTGCACAATTTAAAAATATATACAAATAAAAAGAAAATACAACTAATATGTAAAAACTGTGTGTTGCAATAACTACAATCCAACACTTGGCCTGATACTAGCCTCTGCTAAACCTGCAACCCTATTAGGGCCTACCTATTAATAAAACAAAAGTCATATTTTAAATCAAATTATAGAAAAAACAGGGCTTAAAACTATATTCTGACATGTCCCAAACTGCAGTGTTGCAAAAGTTTGCAAGCCTCATATAATATAGATGCAACAAAACAGCTCATATAATATTTAGCTTGACCTCCCAAGATAGACGATCAACATTTTCTGAAGGTTAAGCACCTCCATTCACTGATCCTTGGCTGAAAAAGAGCACTTCAGACACTATTTTGTACCCTTTTTGTGGAAAGTGCCAGAGAAAGAAACAAAGAAGAAAAAATAAACCTCCATCTCCATGCACGCCGATTCACAACGTTCCATTACTGTTGTGTCAAATCTTTCTCTCTCCCTCTCGGCTCTAAGTGGATCTCAGCTCTGGTCTGTGTGTGTCTCATGGACCATTGTGTTGCCGTGTTCGTGGAACTGAAGGGAACAGAACAAGCAGTCTGTCATTTACTCATGACTCATCGAGGTTGATGCCTCCGCTACATCGCTCCCGAGGATGCACAGCAAGCAAACCAGACAATCAATCATATTTTAATACAAAACAGCCCCATTTTCAACGAGACACACTGCTATCAGAGAGAGGACCTAATTAGATAGGTGCAGAAACAGCATAATCCTGCAGAGAACGATCATTACCAACACGGCGAAAAGCGTTAACCCAATGATGGATGGCGGCTGATATCCGAGCCGTTCGGAGAGTAATTGCTATAACGCCAGCGGAGCAGACGCATACCAAAGTGCGGCAACTAGAAAAGAAAGTCATTATGATATACTTTTTAGAGAAGTTGTTGAATATCCTCGGGTAACACGGCTAAATCTGTACTGACAACACTTCCTGTGCTCCGCTTCAGAAATTAGGCTGCATCAATATCAGGCTTGTATATCCTGTTTAGCATACCGGTGGCAGGTTTTGCATACGGGCTGCATTACTGTCGCCTTACTGAATGGTATTATCGTGATTGACCGTGAGGTAGGGGAACAAAAGGGTGACCTGCACGCCGAGCTGGAGTTTGTGGTTATCATTTCTCTTTATCTACGTGTGCCGGTATCAGCGTTTAGTATGAGCAATGTCACAAGTCTAGTAATGGGCGAAAAACTGTTAGTGCGTGGCAGGGTTATTATGGTAAATCCAAAAATGAAAATTTGCGGAAAATTTACTCCCCCTCAGGCCATCCAAATTTGTTTTTCATCTGAACAGATTTGGAGAAATGTAGCATTGCATCACTTGCTCAGCAATGGATCCTCTGCAGTGAATGGGTGCCATCAGAATGAGAGTCCAAACAGCTGATAAAAACATAACAATAATCCACAAATAAGAAATACATCCATCAATAAAGCATTTCACCTTCAAACCATTGCTTTCAGCCAAAATATAGATCCTGCATCCATAATATTGCTTTTGTCCATTGAAAAAGTCATCTTGTCTGAATCAGGAGAGAAATATGCACAGATCAAGCACCGTTTACAAGCGAAAACAGTACAAAACAGAGGGTGGACTTTTTCACTGGAGGAAGCGTTATTATGGATTATGGACTATATTTTGGCCAGAAGTTATGT